TATCAACATCATTTTGATTTTCATCTTCGCTCCAAGTAACAGTGTCATATGCCTTAACACCGTCCTCGCCGATTACGCTTAACAAGGTTGATACTCTGACAATACCTTCTTGTTTTTGTACACCTGTTGCAATCTCGTACCGTGTCCATGATTTCTTCCAAGACTTCCATGTAGTTGCCAAGTTATCGTCGAATATAAGCGACTTTGGCGGTGGCAAATTCGATGGCGCTATAAATATTTGTGGCGTCTGGGCCATTTGTGGCGCTTGGATTTCTGCCTGTGGTTCAACCATCGTTTTATTTCGACTCAGAACACTCCTGACACCATGTAACGTGTTAGTTTATTACGATATAGTTTCTGATTAACAAGAAATCGAGAGAAATAGTCATTTGTTTACAATATATAAAACGCCTAGCTTGTGTTACTTTTTCGTACGCCTCGCTCGCCGCGCCTGTCAATCAAATTAATGTTTTCGTCATCGTGACGTCACCTAATAACATCGTGACACGATGAGAGAAGTGCAATGCGTTTGTTGATAGCTGTAGGTAATTGTCTTGTAATGCTTGGTGGATGGTTTGAGTGTCTGTGGATGTACAATGGATCGTCATTGGGTTTCCTGTATGGTTTGTGTTTTGCGTTGATCAGGTCGAAAGTAACATCTAAAAAGTTTACAACGTTCATATTTACTTCGGCGGTGATTTTAAGGTCAAATTGCTCGAAAATTTTGTGTAGCTCTTTTCTAGTTTTGTCTAGTAAACGGGCGGATTTGCTTTTTATAACAGCCAAACCATCATCTCTATAAAGTCCGATGTTTTCCTTGCCAAACCTCTTACCTAAGTGATTTAAAATGAAAAGGCCTACCAGCTCACAAATTTCAGCGCCGTCGAAACTACCCATAGTGACGTCAAATAAACTGTTGCTTCCGTCTTTTTTTGTCCATAATTTGCCGTTGCCGAAAAGTAGAGATTTTCTTGCATGTTTTATTATTGAAATATCGTTTTCGGTAATAGTAGTCAAATCCGAAGCCCAGGCCAATGCTTCATTTAAAAGTTTTTCGGAAATAGATGGGTAAAAATCCACAATATCAAATGAAATAAAACTGTGCCTGTCTTTATCGTTTATATTGCCAAACCATGAAATTACTTGTTGTGTATTTCTCCATTGATTTGAATTTAGTTTTTGCCTCAAATTAGAATTAATTTTATCTAAAATAACCTTACTTAGTTTTCCGGATTCGCTTTTTGCGGGATTAATTAGTCTGCATTTTGGATTGTTTTCGAAATTTTCTTTAAAGATATAAATGCTTCGCATTTTTTCATTCGTTCAATTCTGTCGCCAATTCCTAACTTAAAAATGTTTAGGAACGAACTTTCCCTAAGTCTCATGTTAATAATATATTTTGTGTTCAATATATAGACCACAGTAAGACTTTTTTTTAATGTTTATTTCATTAACAAAACGACGTTTCGGAGATTTACTCCATCTTCAGGTAGTTAATAGGATTACAATTTGAATTGTAATACAATTACAATTACAATTTAATTAATTTTTCATTTTAATTTTTTCAATTTACAATTTGATTTGTTTAAATTCAAATTGTAATCCTATTAACTACCTGAAGATGGAGTAAATCTCCGAAACGTCGTTTGTTAATGAAATAAACATTAAAAAAAAAAGTCTTACTGTGGTCTATATATTGAACACAAAATTCCTAACTTACTCGAAATTTCTTTCAATTCGGAGTCAATTTCATGTATGAAGTCCTCTGATCCATGTTTGTACGTTTTCGTGATGTTGTCATGTAAGAGTTTGTTGTATGTGTTCAGTGACGTTTGGTAAATGTTTCTAGTTTTGTCCGCGAAAATGAAAATGTTGGGAGGTGAATTAATTTTCTTCAAATCGTTAGCCAAAGATGTCTGAAATTGGTCTTTAGGATGCCGGAATTTTACGTTTTCAATTAGTTTTATCAAGTTGTCTTCGAAAGGTTTCAAAAGTAGAATTGAAGGCGATTTGTTAGATGGTTTTGAGTTGTTGATCCTTTTAGGAAGAAATTAGCTTTCCATCTCATACGTTTTGTTACGCTTTCCACTTTTTCAATCAAATTCTTTAGGTAAGCATCCTGTGATGGTATAGGAATATTCTTTAGTGAATAATCGAATCGAAATTGTCGCATGTTTGAAGTAGAAATAAAATGAATAACGTAGACAAGAGTGCACAACCGATTACCGGGTGCAAATATAGCTTAAGGTTTTGGTTTACGAAACACAAACAGTGCTCAATACCATATAGATAGAGCGTAATATAGTTTTTCGTTTTACCTCAAAAACCACAACAGTCTGTTTCATCCGTATAGGAATCATCAGGTGGTGAATAATTTCGAAATTGTAGGTTGCTTTTATGCTATCGAAAGAATGTGCGGAATGCATGTAGGCGAAACAATGCTTAGGTGAAACAATGCATGCTTGGGTCATTAGGTTTTGTTAACGACCTTGTTTACTCAAAACCGGTTTTTGTGACGACATTTGCCGAAAATTTCGCTACTTTTATTGAGTAAATTGTCTTTGTTTATGTCTTTCAAAATGCAAAATTTTTCTTCCAAACATAAATTGCAGCGTTTTGATCCCCCTGTGTACGAAATAGCGTGTTTTAAAATTGACCATTTGATGGTATAATCCTGATTGTTTTCTTTTAATTTCCAAATATGTTTCGAAAGTTCCGTTTTGTTTGAGTCTTTTTTATGACGAAAAGATGAAGTGTGGTTAGCGTAACGTTCCTTAAATGTAGTCGCTGTCATACCAATGTAGTGTTTAGTGTCGTTCGTGTTGTTCGTTGTGACTGTTGCTTTGTAAATAATGTTGTTGGTCATGCATTGTTTCGGTAGTGGGCAAGTGTTTTTGTTGTCGCAGTTACAGTTGTCAGTTTCCGTATTCTGTGATTGACTGTTCCTAATTATATGTGTGTTGTGTTTGGTGATCCCTTACAAAAATAAACTATAGTTTTTCAAGCCAAAAACTATAGTTTTAAAAACTATAGTATTTTGGAACAAAAACTATAGTTATGGAAACTATAGTATTAAAAACTATAGTTCTTGTAGGAACTATAGTTTTGGCTAAAAACTATAGTTTTGGCTAAAAACTATAGTTTTGGCTAAAAACTATAGTTTTGGCTAAAAACTATAGTTTTGGCTTAAAACTATAGTTTTGGCTAAAAACTATAGTATTTTGGAACAAAAACTATAGTTACGGAAACTATAGTAATTAAAAACTATAGTAATTGTAGGAACTATAGTTTTGCGGGCTAAAAACTATAGTTTTGTCAAAAACTTTAGTTTTGACTAAAAACTATAGTTGGAAAAAACTATACTGCCTGTAAGAGACTTAGGATCTAAAGGCTTCCGCGGGATATTGAATTTGTTTCTTTTTAATAATAAATGATAAAATATACGCAAACATATAGACTTATACAAACAATAATTTTACTGAGTCCGCCATCTTGAATATTCTCTCCTCGTGGTCGCCACTATATTGTTCTTACATAACGTTCTACTTCTAACTCTCTCACACTCCCCCTGTTCATCGATATAACCTCATCGATCAACAACATAATGTCAACAAATTCTTAAACGTAATAATAGCTAATCTTCTATACTGAAATGTTAAAGGTTCAAAAATGTTAACCGTTCAACTTAGCTGTTGTAGCCACTGCTTTCGTAGTTCATCTGCTGTGACGGCTGCCTTTCTTCTTGGTTTTAATGTTTCAACTGTTTCCTCTGGATCGTCTTTCTTCTTGGATGGGTTTTCTCTTTCAGCGTCTTCGTTTTCTGCATCATTAATCTCCAACGGGATCAACGCCTGTATTGGTCTTCTTAGTTTGCTAGGTTTCATTCCCTTGCTACTAATCTTGACTGCCGCTCCTCTGACTTGATCATCTTTACCAGTAATCCGTTCTTCGACTCGACCTATTTTCCACGAAACTCTTGGCGTGTCATCACGAATGACAACCACATCTCCTACTCGAACAATTCTTCTCTGTGGGGTGTTCTTGATTCTCAAGCGATGTGATTCTCTAAGTTCCAATAGGTATTCATTACACCATCTTTTCCAAAAGTGTTCGATTAGTTTTTCCAGATGTACTCCTTTACGGACAATCTCGGATGACACGTATGATATCGGTCTGGAGTTAAGGATAGCTTCAACTTCGGTTACAATGGTTAGTAGTTCATCGTATGTTACCTTCGAATTCTTTAGAACCTTCTTCAAACATTGTTTTACTGATTTTACCAATCGTTCGAAAAAGCCTCCCCACCAGGGAGCCTTTTCTATGTTAAAGCACCATTGGATTTTCTTGGAAGATAGATAACATTTCACTTCAGGTAGATCAAACAGGGCGCATAATTTCTTTGCGGCTGAGATAAAGGTTTTAGCATTGTCCGATATAACCTTGGCTGGAACCCTGCGTCTTGCGGTGAATCTCTTAAAGCTTCTCAAGAAAGCTTCTGTCGACATTTCTCGGACAAGTTCGAGGTGGACAGCTCGTGTTACGCCGCATGTATATAAACATATCCACGTCTTCGCCATTTCTAAGCTGGATTTATCTTCGTTTTTAACATATAATGGTCCAGCAACGTCAATACCCGTACATGTGAATGGTGGGTCTTCTACTATTCTGGATTTGGGTAATGGTGGTGGGTCTGCTGGGTTATATGGCTTTCCCTCGAAGCGTCGACAAGGAACGCAACTGGGTATTATCTTTCTAATCAATTGCCTTCCCTTGACAATCCAGAATTTCGATCTGATTTCGGTGAGTGTTTCTTTTACGCCATTGTGGTGAACGCGTTCGTGGCATTCTTCTATGATGAGTCGTGTTACTCTGTGGTTTCTGTCCAACATGATCGGGTGTTTGGTTTCGTACTGAATCTCAGCGTTTGATATGCATCCACCGCATCTTATCACTCTTTGGCTGTGAAAGATACGAGTCTTGGCAGCGACAGTTCGCACTGTTCAGCGGAACAGTGCAAACTGTCGCCGCCAAGACTCGTTTCTGGAATCTCGTTTTAGAGATGTTTGTATTTCTTTAATCCATAACAATTCTGCCTCTTTAACATCGTCAGTCGTCAATTCTTTCGATTTGCATTTCCTTTTCAGAATCTTTGTGAATTTCAAGACTCGAGCAGTAACTCTGATCAGCCTTCGAAACGAACTGAAGTTATTACAGTTTATTATCATAGCAATGCTCTTCTCTGTCTTCTCACCCTCAACCACCAAAAGGGAGTTTTGAACGTTGTTTCCCAATTTCTTTTGGTCAGCGATTCTCATTTCTTTTGTACATTCTTCCGGAATTTCTGTGATTATTTGCTCTTTATGTTCCTCCCCGTCCGTTTCGCCATATAACATGCCAGGGCCATGATTCCAAAGCTCACAATTGGCAATTTCTGTAGGGGCCATTCCCCTTGAAGGAATGTCTGCTGGGTTTTCTTGACCTGGACAATGCTTCCACGATGAAATTGAGGTGAGTTAGTAGTATAGGAACTGAGGTTTCTAGACCATTGGCAATTTTTCTAGACCACCAGTTTTTTATCTTTAGTAAAAATCATTTATTTTTATTATATTAAAATTAATGGTTGGTACAAATAATTGGAATGTGAAACTGCTATTCTTGTTTTTTCATTTAACTTATCTCAAAGCTTCAGGGTCCAGCTGAGACTCTAATACGATTATCCTACACTTTCCCAATATCGTCCAACCTTCCTATTCCAGAGCCTTTTCAACATCTTTTATTTCCTCCTTGAGGGTACACAAGGCAGGGGGCCTTTGTAGTCCGGATGCACTGTTGGCATTATCCTTTTCACCCTGTGTGGTCACCTCAACCTTAATATCATTGGATACAGAGAAATTTATATCCCCAACCTTCCCATTTTTGTTGGACCTCCTACGACAGCCACAGATATTACCCAAACAGGAGAAGCATGAACGCCACTTTGACATGATACTTTATGATACAACACATGTTATACACCTGACCCCGAATACCGCAATGACCAGCAAAAAGACAAGTCCATACTCGAACCAGTTGGCATTGAGTGTTCAGGTTTAACTATAATACACCAAGCCAGCGTATTATCTACCAGCTCAACCTGATTTCCTAAATAGAACATACTATTGCCCTTGAAAACATAGCAAGCTGTACTTCCACCAGTAGTTGTGTAAGTTCCATTGAACCAAGTGTGTGACAGTCTTCTTAAGTCTATTGTTCTCAGAGCGATTTCCTTCTTAACCTGTGTAAATTTTCCATTAGACTGTTTTTCCCATACAGTAGCCCACAGGATTAGGGCTAGGGGTATATTTAGAACAGTTGATAAAGTTGGGAAATCTGATTTAATAGTAATTGACTCAAGGTTAAGGTCTGTCATATTATTAATAGTATCTGTTCTCCATGAAGGTGGAATCTGATCTTGACAGTAAGCATAGTACCTTGTTGCTGCAACTGATACACCACGATAACCCCAGATCCACTCTGAATAGATA